TTATGTCTAATAATGAACTCAAGGATTTATCAATGAATTTCAATCAGTAGTAGTTCTTACTTGATTTTGATGCTCATATTGATCCCTTTTCAGCTAGTGGGAGCTCCTTTATGCTGATCCCTTTGTCCCTTTGACCTGACCCACTAGACTTTAGACTATAATAGATTCCCTGATTTCTGATACAACAGGGTGTCCCATGCTCATCATACACACTTCTTGCCTCAGACCTGAAATCTGCCATTCCTCTAAAGGACTCATCCCTTTTAATAGGGAATGCTGTTTTGGAAGTATGATATGCATACCAAAGGTACTCATTGCTATAAAATTATCATTATTTTCAGGTCTTTTCAAGGGACAAATCAAATGCTTCCCCACTCCCCTGCATAAAAATAAAATCTTTTTTAAAAAAATTTTAATCTTTATTTTTGAGAGAGAAAGAGAGAAAGAGAGAGAGAGAGAGAGTTGGGGGAGCAGAGAGAATGGGAGACACAGAATCTGTGCTCACAGCTCAGAGCCTGACATGGGGCTCAAACCCATGAACCGCGAGTTCATGACCTGAGCTGAAATCAGAGGCTCAACCGACTGAGCCACCTAAGCACCCATGAAAGCTTTTCTTATTGGCCCATAAGCAGCATTTTTGAAAAGGCAAAATGTTAAGTTCGTACTATGTTAAGTTCGTTCCAATTTAACTTTAATTTTACATGGATTCCACTTACTCATCGTTTCTAACAATTATAACAAGTTGTTTTTACCTATAACATATGAGAATAGTTTGAAAATATCTGTATTTCTACCAGCAATAAGACTACTGATTGAAGTTTAAGATTTCATTGTAGGTTTATATATCCTGATAACATATTCCACTATGAATGCACTATAAAAACACTACTTTCTAAAATCATTTCATTATTTACTTGATGTGGTTATGTCACCAACTTAACATACGTTTAGATCATTAGCTTCAGTTTGTTTTCAAATTTTAGGAATTACATTTTTCTTTAGAATTTAAAATTATTTTGGATATGTCAAATATACACATGATTAAAAATTTTTAATGTTAATTTTTGAGAGAGAGAGAGAGGAGGGGAAGAATAGAGAGAGAGGGAGACACAGAATTTAAATCAGGCTCCAGGCTCCACTGTCAACACAGAGCCTGCCACGGGGCTCCAATTCACCAACTGTGAGACCATGATCTGAGTCAAAGTCAGATGGAGGCTTAACCGACTGAGCCACCAGGTGCCCCTATACATGATTTTAAATTCAGAACTATGTAGTCAAGATATGTGAAGAGTAGTCTGTTCCATGCCTGTCCCTTCTAGCTGTTTCTTCCCAGCCCAAATATATATGCTAGTATATATTCATCTCGTGCACTTATTGTACAAAAACAAGAACACTATGTTTTTCTGCATCTTGGTTTGTTTTTTGTTGCTGTTGTTTTAAAGCTAACCCATATTCTGGAGTTCATGTTACATCAGTGTAGAGATGGCCTTCGTTCTTTTTCAGAGTTACACAGTGTATTTCATTACATGGCTCTATTCCAGTTTATTCAACCACTCCCCTACTTGTGGCCGTTTGGTTTGTTTCCAATCTCTTGCTATTGCAAATAATACTGCAATAAAATTGTGCGTGTTATTTTGTATTTTGGAAAGGGTTCCTAGAACTGGGATTTCTGGGTCAAAGGATAAATGCCAATGTAATTTTTCTAGGGATTATCAAATTCCCTTCCATAGATGCTGTGAAACTATTTTACAATCTCACTGATGATATGTGCTGTCCCTACAGCCTGCAGCCCACGAGACAGTCAAACTTTTGGGTTGTTGCTAATCTGATTACTAGCTTTCTTTTATCATCCTGTCCCCTGATATACCACAATGATTTTCAACTGCTCTGGAAAGCACTCTCTTGGCATGAACAATAGGGGATTGTGTTGAGGGTGGTAGAAGGGGGGTGGCTGCAGTGTCCCTATCTATTTCCACTTACCTAATCATAGAAATGGCCAAAGCCCAAAGCATACACCATCCTTGTTAAGACCTTGTACTTCCAAAGGCTGGTTTAGGTTTCCAGCCAAAGAAAAGGACGTCAAATATAACTTCACTTGTTTCTAAGGTCAGCAAAATGCACAGAGGACAGTAAGTGAAATCTACTGGTACTTTACCAACTTCAGGATCCTGAGAAAGGTGGAGGTGGAACCATGACTATCTTTTGCCAGCTTGCTGTCTCTAAACAACCCCATTCCAAGGAGAGGGAGAAGTCCCTGTGTATGACTGGAAGTTTCCACAGATTGTGGAGTGACCACTTTAGCCTGCAGGCTGCTCATACCCGGGACTTCTTCTTTTGTTGCTTTGTAGGAGTAAATGTCATCAATGGTCCTTGTTTGTTTTGTTTTGGTTGGGTTTGGTTTTTTGGTTTTTTTCAGCATCTCCCATTTTTTCATTTTTTTCTATTCTTCTGGGTATTCTGTCCCCAGGTAGTTCTACAATATCCTGAGGCGCATCAGTTTGTCACAACTTGGAGAGGGGTACTGCTGGCTTATAGTGAGTAGAGGCCAGGGATGATGCTAAACATCCTACCATACACAGAAGAGCCCTCCTCCCCTACCCCTCCATAACAGAATTTCATGCCCCCAAATGTCAGTAGTACCAAAGTTGAGAAACCCTGCTATATTCTTTCTTTATGCACATATTCACAGACATCCGCAAAATGACTATTACCAGTGGCAGAGGAAGGGCAGAATAACAGATACTTCTTTCTCCTCCTCCAAAAGCCACTAGCAATTCAGAAATCTCTTTAGTCAGAAAGACTCAAAGGAGTTATATATTTATCTGGAAGATTAAAGAATAAATACCATTTTAACCTTCTAAAAACTGATTATCATTAGGTATAGTACAACCTTTTAACTGTAGTTATAGAGGAAAGTGCTGATTATTTAAAGTAAATGGGACTAAAAGTCCCATGAATAATCAAAAACTTGGTTAATAGAGTATGACCAGAGAATAATGCATTTGCCTTCTGTGGAGAAATTAAAGTACATGCTGTGAATTGGTATTAAGGAAATTGCATGAAAAGTTAGTCTTAAGGCACCATGATTCTGAAGAAACAGCCTCAGGTGCACAATCTATCACACTGAGTCTTTATCTCTCTTCATTTTTTCGTGACTTCTTTCACCTTGGATAACCCAGAAGCTGAGGCCTTGGAACTTTGGAAATGGTAAAGTAGCTCACTCTCCACATTTATTTTCATCTAGAACAGAGCTGAATTTTATTGCCAGGAGTTTGTTATCTCTTCTACAGGAATTATTTTGAACTTCAGCTTGCCTTACTTATTTCGCGGGTGTAGACTACGTATGACACCTTCAAGCACAATTCACTTGATCTAAACTGTATCCCTGAAAAGTTATGCCTTAATTGAATTTTTGGAAATAAAATCAGATTTTTAAATCACGAGGGAAATTTGCTATTAAAAGGGAGTCTGAAGCTAACCATTTGTAGAGTAAAGCATCTTTTTCAAAGAGAATAGTTTGCCCTTTCTTAAATCTGAATTTTTATACATAGCCAGATTCCAGTCCAGTACTGTGCATAATATTAATTTTAAAAATATCAATCATGAATTTGAAAGGATTTTGAAAGTTGAAGAGTTTCACAAGCTTTTTCAAAAAAAATTTATTTATTTTGAGAGAGAGAGAGCAAGAGGGGCAAAGGCAGAGAAAGAGAGAGAGAGACAGAGACAGAGAGAGGGAGAAAAGAGAGAATCCCAATCAGGCTCTGTGCTGTCAGCAGAGGGCCTGATGTGGGACTCTAACCCGTGGACACTGAGATCATGACCTGAGCCAAAACAAAGAGTCAGATGCTTAACCAATAGAGCCACACAGGCATCCCTAAAAGCTTTTTTTAAGAGAGTAAAACTGGGTAATATATCCTTTATTATTAATAGGGGTTTTGTTAACACTTGTTTTGAGTGATGTGACAAGGGGCAGGGTGCTAGACAGGATGCTAACAAAGAAAATACCTAAGGGATAACCACATTGTCAGATCCCCTGGGCAATGAAAAGAGAAAAGCCTGGTTGGTAGTTTGTTACTTAGTGTAATGCTGTGGTTAAGAGCATGGATTCAGAAACCTTATTGGCTACGATAACATCCTTGTCTAGTGTGGCCTTCTACAATTTACAGTGTGGATGCTCATGTTTTCTCACACGAAACATGGAGAATACTCACTACTTAATAGAGTTGTTTCGGGGATTGAATGAGCGAGCTCTAAGTGAAAAGCACTAGGGTCAATGATAGTTTTGAATCCTGGACGATGAACAGAGCTTTCTTCGGATGGCTGGGCACGGGTCTCTCTGCACCCTTGTGGAGGCGTGGCTGCTTCCGCCTGGGCCACACACAAGGGGAAACCGAGGCTCAGTGAGGAAGCTGGGTGATTAGGCAAGGATCGAGGACATTCCTTGGGAAAAAGAACCCTTTCCGCCGGGTCAGGCCACCTTTCTTCTGGTTGGGAACAGAGGGCAAAGAGAGCTCAGCCCCACGGGTTCACTTTGCGTCTCACGTCTGAGTAGCGGCCCTCCCTCATGCCCTTCCGCTACCACTGCCAGGGGCTAGGGGCACACAGCTGCGAAAGGCTTCCCAGAGGGGCCCGCACCTCCGCCCCACGCCCTTTCTGTCCGGGCGGGCTGGCAGGCGCGAAAAGAGACTTGATAGACACCGATCCTCGCTCATAACACAAATATTCACGTGTGCCCAGTCTGTGCTGGGAGTTGGGCACGTCCTGGTGAATCAGACTCCGCCCCCGCTCCGGGCGTTGGAGCGCCGCACAGCAGCACCCAAGCCCCACCCCAATCCAGGACAACCTAAATCCTTCAACCTAGGGTGAGGCGGGGGTGTGGGAGGAGCCTAAGCTCTCGCCCTACCCCGTGCTTTCCGGGTGTCACTACCAAGGCCCCACCCCTTCGGGGGGCGTTCATGACTGCGTCGTAAAGTAGGGAACATTCTTTGCTCCTGAATACCCCGCCTCTGTCTTTACGACAGACCGTATTCCACGCCTCCAACATGGCGTCCCCCATTTAAGAAGCGGCAGTAGTTTCTACTCAGGTGGCCAGGGGCAGTGCTGAGCTTGGGCTGTTGTCTTTGTAGCCTGAAGTGCTGAAAGCTGTAAAGTTCGTTTCTAGTCACGGTTCCAGGACTCTCCCTTCTTTCAGAGTCAGGAGTTGCCGCTTCTTTCTAGTTCCTGCAAGTTCTTCCTCCGCCCCTGGTTTGTTACTTGCGCCACCTCCGGACACCCCCCCCAAATCCCTGACACTCCCAGACTCAAACTATGAGCCTTCGGCAGCTGCTGTTGCGCTTACCCCGTTATCTCGGGGTCTCGGGTTCCCCGCGACGCTTGTGGTGGTCCCCGTTCCTCGATACCGTCTCCTCGGTGGGCTCCTGGCGTGGTCAGTCCTCCAGGTCCCCGGCCCACTGGAACCAAGTGGTGTCAGAGGCGGAGAAGATCGTGGGCTATCCCACGTCCTTCATGAGCCTCCGCTGCCTGCTGAGCGACGAACTCAGCAACATCGCTATGCAGGTGCGGAAGCTGGTGGGGACTCAGCACCCTCTGCTTACCACGGCCAGGTGAGCTACTCCCTCTCCTCCTGATGCACTGTCACCCACTGGAGTTCTTTTTCCTGGCCGACGCACCCTTCCTACCTCGCTCAGACTGGTTCCCTGCTCATTTTTTTTTATCCCTTCCTTTCCTCAGACTTCTTGGACACTTGATGTTTTATCTTCTCCAGTCCACTCACCTTAACTAACTTTCTCCCTCCGTTTGCTCATATGAGCGGATAAGCGGTTTTCTTACTTTTTTTAAATTGCTTTTTGCTTCTTAATTATTCAGGGTAAAGATGCCTCAGTGAATTATGGAGAAATTGAGTAGGGATGTGCGTTTGAGTCACCTTTCTAGGAATGGTCTTTTGAAAGTGGGGTAGGTTGATGTTCGGTTCCTCACTGTTCAAGAGGTCGCCTCCAGAAAGAATGGGGAGGAGGAGATGTGCTGAAGGTAGACAGCTCTTTCCAGCGAGTGTCCCAGGCTTAGAGTAGGAATTTATTCACTCAGGAGTCACGATCCTTTTGCGATTTTTATCACTGAAGCTGGACTACTACTGTGAAACTTGCTATTAGGATTTTAAGATCACAACTTATGCTTCCAGTAAAAACAAACAAAACCCTTTTTATTTGTAAATATTTTCAAACATACTGAAAAGTTGCAAGAATAAATATAGTACAAAGAATGCAGCGGTATACCTTTTAATCAAATTCACGTATTCTATACATGTATACAATTTACATGTATATGTAAAATACCCACACACATATTTCTGATGAATCATTTGAGAGTAGATTGCATACCTCATGATCCTTTACACCTAAATACTGAATCGTGTATTTCCTAAACGTTGGAATATTCTTTACAGTATTTAAGCACATTTAATATTGATACAGTACTTTTATTTAATCTGTAATTGATCCAGTAATTGATCCAGTAATGTCTTTTATAGCTCTTCTCTCTAGTACAGGAACTAGCCTACCATCACATATTACAGTTAGTTGTCTTGTCTCTTAAGACTCCTTCTGTTGGGAACATTTCCACAGTTCTTTGCTTTTGTGAGTAAAGCAGTAGTAGTTCCTAAATGGGGCAGTTTTGCCTCCTAGAGAACATTGGCAATATATGGAGATGTCATAACTGGGGCGTGCTACTGGCATTTAGTGCGTGAAGGCCAGAGTTGCTATTAAACACCCTGCAGTTCCCAGAACAGCCCCTACCGTGAAGAATTATGTGCCCCCCTCCCCATGTCAGTAGTACCAAGGTGGAGAAGACTTAGACAAAAATACCTTTTCCTGTTTTCTTTTGTTAAACTTTTATTTTGAAGTAATTGTAGATTCACTTGCTTTTGGGAGAAGTAATACAGAGTGATCCAATGTACGTTTTACCCGGTTTTCCCAATAGTAACATCTTGCACAGCTATGGTACAATATCAGAAATAGATTAATGGCATTGATATAGTCAAGATGCAGAACATTTCTGTCACTGGAAGGATCCCTTACGTTGCCCTTTTATAACCACCCCCGCTTCCCTTGCCCAAACCCTTGCTGTAACTTTTTATGAGACACCTGTCATTTCTTTGTCACTGTGAAACTTACGAAATAACAATAATAAGTGATTTCATTTGTTGGCATTATCTCCAGTAATCAGGAGTGTCATTTTATGATTGGGCTAAAGTTGGCCTGTAGATAGAATGTTAATTCTCCAGAGATTTTAGATGCTATACACTCAAACACACACACTAACGTACAAACACGCACATACTCATATGTTTTACAGCTTAATAATTAAAGTAATGAGCTTTCCATCTAATATAAAAAGTATAACTACGAATCCTTTTGAAACTGTCTGTACTTCCCAGTCCATGCTCCTGAGCCCCAGTGTACTGAACTTTGTGTTTATTTTTCCTTGTTAAAAATTATATCAGTATTCCTCTAAGTAATACTGTGTTAAATTTTGCTCACTTTTGAAATTTATAAATATGCTAGTTTATTGCATATAGTCTGCTATGCTTACTTTTTTATTCATAATTGTTGCTAAGACTCATCCATGTCATGTTTAATTGTACTTCATCAGTTTTTCACTGGTGTATGAAATCCTACCATGTGAATATGCCACAGTCTTCTTTCAATCAGCATTTGAGTGGTTTGCATTTTTGTGTTATGAAAAATGCTGCTGTGATTGTGTTTGAGCACATCTCCTGGTGTACTTGTCTTGAGGGAATAGATGCAGGAGTGTCTGTATGTGTTCAGCTTTAGTAAATAATACCAAATTGTTTTCCAAAGTGATTTTGCTAGCTGACACTCTCATGAGCAGTGTCCTGAGTTCAGATTATTCCATGTTCTTGCAGTACTACAAGTATGAAGTTTCTTACTTAACTCTTTGCTAATAGTGGGGTTTCACCGTATGTGGTGGGAATGGTGGTGTAAGTGGTGGGGGTTGGAGTAGTATATTGCACTGTGCATATTGTAGTCTTTGTAATAAAACATTGAAGCGAAAAGGGCAGAGCAGCAAAAAGTGTAATTAATGTGTATGTTCTGAGAATTATAATTCATGTACTTAGTTGCTAGCACATCAGATGGGGTGTTGGAGAAGATCCCTTCTGAAGCCGCAGAGAGACAGTTTCTAAGACTAATGCCTTTAAAAATTTCCTGGTTGCAGCCTGCCCTGGCTCCCCAGTACCATACTACAGTGAAAAAAATGGGGAGGAACAAAATAATTAAGTTTCACAAGGTGTTATGATAACATAGATGGATTTTGTAAGAAAAGAGCTAATGTGCATGTAGTTTTATTATGTTTACTTTGATAATGTAGGGCAAATTATGTATTTAAACAGTCTGAACTCACAAGCAATCAGTAAACAAACAACTTTTAGGGAGAGAATCCTGTATTTATTTTAGCAATTGAGCAGGCATTTGATCAGAGGGTAGGCAGACTGTGATTTTTTTTTTTTTTTTTAGTTTATATATTTATTTTGAGAGAGAGAGCATGAGCAGGGGAGGGGTAGAGAGAGAGGGAGAGAAAGGATCCCAGGCAAACTCCATGCCATCAGCACAGAGCTGGATGTGGGGCTTGAACTCATGAACTGTGAGATCATAACCTGAGCCAGAGTCAAGAGTTGGATGCTTAACCAAATGAGCCACTCAGGCACCCCCAGACTGTATGATTATTGTTAATTATTAATTATTATTGAAAACGTAGATTAAGCAACTATATTTTTCAAATGATGTACACCTTTGTTGAAATCTTATCAGTAAAGTATTGACAATTAAGAGGAAGATGCTGTCAGTATGTTAGCTAAGAACACAAAGAACCCTTGTAGTTGATTTAGTTAGGACCATAGGAAACTGGACCTGGTAAATTCTTTTACAGTTTCATTTTACATTTTGAATTTCTATTATTGACTTAAATCAGTATTCCAGCCCCTTGGATCATTTTCCTTTTTGTTTAAATCTATATGGGATGTTAGAGATGAATCATGTCTGATACCCTAAAATTTGGGTGAAGGGTGGCATTTTTGGCAAACAGGAGGTGAGAAAAAGCAAATCACCATAATTTATTATTCACTGCCTTCTCTTTCTTTACCTAAGCCATCTCATCAAGAAAAGGAAAAAGAGCCTAGAAGTATACTCTAACAAATTCAGCAGTGAGATTAAATTTAAAATCTTGAGATTTGGTAAAATAATAATTTTATTACTAGGAACAGTGTAGCAGTTAGCTAATTTTTTACCCTTCTTTTTCTAGATTTCCTAGGATCTTTATATTGTAAGTTCCAATTAGATGAAAGAAATCCTCAGTTAATTAGCTCAATGTTTATTGAAGCTTGTGGAGGAATATAAAGAAGTCTAAAACATGGACTCTGTTCCCTGATGAACAGGCATTGTGTTGAACACAAGTATATTTACATCTGTCTACCAGAAGGAAGTAAATGACTTGTGGCTAATGAGTAGTGGCGATACATTAGCTATTTTATTTAGAGATACTGAAGTGGTCTGGAATAGTAGAGAACTTCTCATGAAGAAATTGGGATCTCCTTGGGATTGCTGGACAGAAATTATATAGGTAATATTTTAGGGTGATGGTAGTATATTACATATTGTTTCCTTTGTGATTCTTTTTTCTCCTTTCTGCCCCAAGCTTTCATACCCGTAGTAGGTATAGGGGGGACCTTAAAAGCAAGAATAAGCAGTGCAGTAAAGTAAAATCATCAGCAAGAAAGGAGCTAGAATAGCTAAAACAATTTTGGGGAAGAAAAAGTGTGAGGAATCATTCTACCTAACGTTATGTCTTAGACACAGTTTCATTGATCAAGACAGTGTGGCATTGGCAGAGCAGTAGACAGATCAATGGAACAGAATAGAGAACCCAGAAATAGATCAACATAAATATGCCCAATTGATTTTTGACAAAGGTACAAAAGCAATTCAGTGGAGGGGATAATAGTCTTTTCAACAAATAGTGCTGGAATGATTGGACATCATTGACAAAAAAAAATGAACCCTGACCTTAACCTCACACCTTAAAAAAAAAAAGTAAAATGGATACCTGTGAGATCAATGTAAAATGAATTTAAATGTGAAATGTAAAACTATATAACTTTTAGGAGAAAACACAGGAGAACATCTCCAGAACCTAGAGCTAGGGAAACATTTACTAGACATAACACCAAAACCCCATTTTGTAAGAGAAAAAAAATCTGCATTTAATGGACTTCATTAAAATTAAAGTCTTTGCTCTATAAAAGATCCCGTTAATAGGATGAAAAGATTAGTAACAGATTAGGAGAAAATATTTGCAAATCAAATATCTGAAGGACTTGTATCCAGAATATGTAAAGAACTCTCAGTGGTGAGAAAGTAAACAGTACAATCAGAAAATGAGCAAAAAGAGCCTATAAAGATGACAAGTAAGCTTATATAACACTAGCCATTAGAAAAATGTAAAACCATGATGAGATTACTACTACATACCAAATAGACTGGCTAAAATTTAAAATACTGACAATATGAAGTCCTAGTGAAGAGACAGAGAA